AGGCCCCCCCCCCCCCCCCCCCCTTTATTGCTGCGGCTGTTGTACTCGATGGAAATAATTTAAGTACTAGTATGGAAGTGTGTAGCTACCTTTATCTCAAGCTTTTTTCTAAGTTGGTCACAAACAAGCTTTCAATCTCTATTATCCACCAAACTGAAAAATCTTTTTTTAAATGAAATGGTGAGAAATGGTGATTTTTCATTTAAAATGTAGTCTGTGTCTGCATTGGTCAGTGACATCTGTTGGGCATAGTAATGCTGACTGTCATGTTGTCCTTAACTCTCCAGTTGTCTTAATGTCTATAGCATTTAACTGTTTATGTTTGATCTCACTTATTGTCTGGTGCAGCTTAATATCTTTTCTATGTAGGTGACTAGGTACAACTTTGACCCATTTTAAGAAAAGCAATTTATATTGCAGACACTTGATAGCAAAGGTGTGGCAGACTGTAACTTAAGTTATGAAAACCGGTTTTATTAAACCTTTCATTTTGTCTGTCTCTGAAGATTGTTCGAGTTTCTTAGAATGTGCAATAGTTGCAATATCTCAAGTTTATTAGATTGATAAAATTCAGTATTTGTTTTTTTTTTCATCTTCTGTTTCCTTGCATAATTAATGTCAGCTTTAAGATCTACTCACCTTTAACTCAGACATGTCATTGAACTCCAAGATAACACCCTTGTTTAATAGATCTATGCACCTGTATCACCCTGCAGTAGAAAACAACGGCATTCCTGTGCAAAATTCACCTTCCATTAGCTGTCTACATCATAAAACTTAACGTGTATTTTTTGCTTTTTTGATCAGAATGTTGCCAAATAAAAGCATGACTCCCAAGGCCAACACATTATGGAACCTTAATGGTGTTTTTTAATGTGCTGTTAGTCGGAGTATGATGAATTATTGGAGAACTTGGGCAGTCCAAGTCCGTGGTTCTTTCCCTCAGCTCTATGTAAATTCAGCTGATGTAGTCTGAAATCTGATCACTAATTATCATCCTGTGGTATTGGATGTAGATTCCAGGGCAGACTTGAGTATTTGCAATATACTGTGCACTTCCTCCAGTGCCTCTCCCTTTGTGGATCTCATTGGGAAGAATGCATATGGGCACATCTGCAAGAGACATCACTCTCCGTGATGATAGCATGCAGCAACTTGGTTAGCAGGTCACTGGTGTATGAGATTCACTCACATTGTTGTTTGCGCTCAGTGACTCACGTTGTTATCAGCCTGGGCGCCTGGGTAACCAGGCAGACAGCTGGACCTTCCTCTCTAATCTGTAGACTCATAGATTTAGGTTGAAGGTCAAGGGTAAGCCTCCAGCATGTTAATACCGAGATCAGCTATTTAGTTAGGTCAGGCTGCGGGTGGAGATTAGTGCGACTGCTCACTCACTCAATAATGGAGGAAGACCAGTTCAGTTATATGCCCAGTTACTGGGAGATTATAAGAGGTGTTTATGACGGCTATGTTGAGACACAGAGACAGTGGGGTAACCCACCTCTTTCCACAGCCCCTGGGGTGTTCTGGAGGTGCCTTTTAAAGTTTGGTGCCTTTGATCCTGTGGATATCCTTTATATAGTGGTCCTTGCTGTGATGTGGACCATGATACGCTACCTTCTGACTTGGACTGTCCTTACGGTAGGTTTGAGATGGTGTTAGCAAAGACGTATTTGTAGTGAAATTAAGTAACTGTAGTCATACCATCACTTAAAGGGAGTGTCACATGATGTAGTGAATGTATTTCAGTGTTATAAATATCCTGGTGATTAACTGCTGAATGACATGTGCTAGATGTATTTATATGACACACTGCTCTGCGATTGACCGACTGTTGTATGAAATGCTATCAGCACTAAAGGCTATTGGCAATATGAATATATATTTTAAGAGAGAGAGGTGGGGCATTTTATTGCAAGGGCCTTTCCCTTTTCCCCTTTTCAACTGATTTCCTCAACCATAGGTGTTTTATTGCTCTCAGTTTGGTAGAATGAGTTTTAAAGAGATTCAGCTCTTTATTGTCTATGGCCTTTTGTGGGAGGATGAAACAATATAAAAAAATTGCCAAACAGAACGTACAATATGTTATATAGAGAAAAACACATGCAGTGGCCTGTACCCATATGATGATTTATCTGTCTACTACATTTTACCAGTAGAAGCTGCAGGTCAAGTGTAAGGGTTTTTACACATCTGGGAATATAACAGGTTCTAAATAGGTATTATACATTCCTTGTACTGTTGCAATGATGAATCCATGCTAATGAATGGAGGTGTTTGTGGTGTTATTTATCATACAAACCAGCCATTGCTTCATATCAAGAGTGAAGCCCATAGATTGTCAGAATTTCAGGCAAATGGTTTATCTTGTAATGTGTACATATTAATATGATACAATATGTATAAGTTAACGAGGGTAGGGAATACCTTTTGGGTTCCATATGATTGGCCTTATATTTCGAGCGTGATGCATTATTTGAGCCCAATATTCTGTGTGAAATGTGATTCAGGAATTCTGGGTGATTGGCCTGAATATATCTTGGTGATTGGTGATTGAGCTGTTTTAATTTTTGTGATTGGTGATTAAAGGGGGTATTCCCTACCCTCTATAACAGGTAGTTCGAGTAATGCCTGGAATCGTGTACTTTTAAATATTTCATCTTATGTTATCTAAAATCATCAATATCTAAAATTGAGCAGTTGAAGAGTAGCAGATCCTGATGGATTGGGAAACTTAATAATATGAGTGGCAGAAGAAGCTATGACAACAGGCAAGAATATCAATATATCAATATGTTGAGCTGTTGGGTATAAGCTGTGAGTGTTTTATGAAACCATGGATAACAGAGGATTTTACTGACTCACCATTGGATGGCCATAGATTGCTCATATGCTGGAAAGCAGTCTTGTGATTTCAATATATCCCTGTGGGAACTAGAACATACTAAGAGTCGTTCTTTGTTTCTAGCTATATATCTCCACTCTGCATTTACAAAATGGGCCAAAGAGAATTTCAGTGCAAACCACATCTCAGTGTCCATGCTTACAAAAGGATGCAGGGCTCGACATTAACTTTCATCAATCAGTTGCTATTGAACGCAGCAAGGCCCAGTGGTTTGGCTGCTGTTCCAGGCATTAAATAAAACTCCAAATAAAAGGTTATGACAGTTTCACTGAATTTTTTTATTCAAAGAGATTACAGAAAATGTAATATGTGTAAATATTTTATTGTTATCTTATAACCACACAACCCTTAGGTTACCTGGGCTTGAATAGGCTCTTTGCTGACTAGAAAGTCATAAAGCACATAGTAAATATATACACTACTTCTGCTTCATAAAAGCCTTTGTTGACTGTTAGTTTAACTTTCTGATTTATAAAGCACGAGTTGGGCACACGTATGGGGATGGGAGGGTGGGTGACTAGCTGCATGTAGCCCAGGGCTCCCTAACTACCACACGTGATTGTGGGCATTATTGCCATTTCCACTTGATTTTGACAGATTTACTGCATTTTCCCCCCTCCAGTGTTACATTTTTCCTCAAAACCCACCAGTAAATCCAACAGCACTGTCAATATATATTGTGTTTCTTCACAGTCGTACATTTTATCCGACTTCAAATCTGATGAACAGACACCCCGTCTCATCAGTAGTAAAGTGGGGAAAACTGTAAGCATACTTGGAAGTTTCAACCAAATTGATCGATCTCTATTGTTCTAATTGCACAGAAGGAATTTTACTGAAATATTGAAGTAAGTTATTCATTCAGTGAATTTGGTTAGCATTGTAAACTGTCACACCCCATATGTGCTAGTTCAACATATAAAAATAATCATTTGCAATTTGCACAGTAAAGGTGACTGAAGATCAAAGGTTCAGAACTACCTAGTTCCTCTCCCCCTTTCTGCATGACAAACCCTTGCCTGAATATCTCAATGTACACATTTGTGAATACAAGTGCAAACTTCACGATTTATTAGAGCAAGGCAAAAGTCAACAACCAGATTATTTGTAGTAATGTTCAATGAATACCATAACATTTGTAATGTATCTGAACTTCATTTCAGCCATTTGCAAGATGGGTTCAGATGACATCTCTGAACCAGAAGAAGTTCCCAGAGAGTGCCTGGAAGGCTCTGTTCTACTCCTGTACCTGGTTGTATAGCTGCTATGTTCTTCTGTGGTGTGGAGAGTTTGACTATTTCCAAAGGCCACTTGCAATATGGCAAGGTAAAGTGAAAAGCAGGATATTAAGACTAGGAAGTTGATATGGACCCTTTACTTTGAAACAGGATGTAAAATATGACAAGTAATAAACAAGAAGGGTGCTTATAGGGAGCATTCCCATAAACCCATCACACTAGCTGGATCAGTCAAACTCTGTGGGGATTCTTGCTAAATTGCTTTAAGTGTAAGTGGCTTAAATGTCTGGCACACCTAATGAAGTTGCTAAGGGGTAAATAACAATAGTCACTCGTAACTCAAGGAGGCATGCCAGACAATTGAGCTGATTACACTGAAAGCACTTTAGCAGGAACCCCACAGAGTTAGATCATTCCAGCTATGTACATTGGGTTTATGTGAACACACTTAGACCTCTGCCAAGTCTGCTCACATCTCATTATTGATTTAAATAACTGAATGGATAACCACCAAAATCTTACAGTTTCTTACTGAGCCCATTTCTTACCTATTCTGAAATTTTTGTCAATATCTGCTTATATGTTTTTGACTTATATTGTTAATTAAAAACAAACAAATGGAAAATCAACCTCTTTGGCAGAGGTAATATAATCATTTAGTGCTGCCTGTTGAAATGATGTTGTATGTTTCATCCCAAATCTGAAAATCAGAAAAAAGTCTGGAAAGTAGATTGCCACAACCAAGATGGATTTCTTTCCACCAAGATTCATTTATATATATATATAAATGATATATATACACACACACACACACACACACACACACACACTTGACAATAGAAGTGTCACCCTCTGAATCAGAGTAATCAAAGTTATTAACCTGAAGAGGTGTACTATAAGGAATGTCAAAATATTGATATAGTTGAATTGTCCAGTCAGAACCGTTTCTTTTGTGAAATTTGATGTTAATAAAATGATACCAGGAGCATATCATTCCACAGTCATTTATCTCCCTCAAAGTATTGGTTCAGTAGGGGTGACACTTCTCTTGTCCAGTGAGTGTGTGTGTTTGTGTATGTGTGTAGGTAAAATTGTGGGTTTATTCGCTCAAAATTATGGTTAGGTATCAATGAAAAAAGGAGAGAAATGTGTCTTGTGCATAAAAAATATGTATCGTGACAACTAATATAACAACAAAACTAATTTAAGAACAAAAATTTGCTGAATGTGCTTACTACACACTGGTCTCTTTCCACACTAGTTTTACTGATAGGTGGCTTGTGTACACAATGTTCAAGAGTGATCTTTAGATCTTTATATAAAATTTGCTCACTAATTACATTATATCTACACATTATGAAATTTGTGCACCCAAAACTTAGGCGCAGGCTTAATGAAATACCATTGCTCCCACGAGTAGGAAAATTTTTGAATTAAAATTATTGTGATAAAAGTTTAAGTAATATTTGCATACTTATGTTTTAGACTGGGCCCCCGGGATGGAGGTTCCTACACTGGTATATATCATGTATATGGTCCAGCTGAGTTTCTACCTCCACTCTGTATATGGCACTCTGTTCATGGACCATAAGAGGAAGGACACACTTGTCATGTTGTTCCATCATTTCCTGACCATGTCTCTCATTGGGTTCTCTTATGCTTGCAGGTACAGAAAATTTGTTAAAAGCCTAATTTTTGTCAAGAAATATGTTTCTAGTGCTCTAGCATGTTCTTTTTTCAGAAACCAGATTTTAATTAAGAGAAAAATGCTTACACTGCTTTAGCTCCGTACAACAGCAAACTTTTAAATCAAATCAGTTTTAATTAACAAAGAAATTACTTCAGATAACATTACCAGTCCTGCAGTTTGACTTTGAGGTTAAGATTATTTTAGTTTTGTCAAACATTAAATTGTAGTCATAGTGAGGGCTTCAGTGTTGAGTTATATTTTGGAAATCATACTTTAGCACACTGTTCTTCTTAACTCAGAGAATATGATTTTAATGTTTCAGATATCATAAGATAGGAACATTGGTTTTGTTTACACATGACATCACAGATATTGCACTGGAGATCACCAAGTGCAATGTCTACATGAAGAATCGTGGAGGAAAGTACTACGCCTTACACGAGTACATCTCACAAGCAGGGTTCACTTGTTTTGCTGTTGGGTGGTAGGTTCTTTTCTTGGATTTCAAGAAATTAAATTTAGCAAGACAGCTATTTCCAGCATGTTTTTTGGCAGTATGGTATTTATTCTTTTTTTAGTATTTTTAGTCATCTGACAAAACAATTTCATTGAAACACCAACATTTTTACCTTACTGGGACAAACATAAGCCCCTTTTGGAGGTTTTGGCAAAGATGTTATTCTTGACCTTCCGAATTTAATAACTCAAGAAAGAGTCGACTTAAGAATCCCTGTACTTGATCACCATGAAGTGTGTTGTGGCTGACATGAATTCATCCTGTTGATCAGGCCATTGCTATGGAAACCTTGCTGGCAACATGTTCATGTTCTCTTTTGGCAAAGATGTATATGTTTCTGCATGCATACATGTATTTTGGGAGAGGGGGGCATTGTTTTAGAGTGTTTTAACTCCAAAGTCTCCTCTCTATTCCAGGGCACTGTTCCGCCTTTATTGGTACCCATTGAAGTGTCTGTACTCAGCAGGCTATGCCTCAGTTATGTACAACCCATCTATGAAACTTCCATTCCATTTCTTTTTCAACTCCATGCTTTGGATTCTTATGGTATTAAATATATATTGGTTCATGGTAAGTACCACTGTATGGTGTGTATAATATTGTAACAGTTGTGCTTATTACTAATTTGCCAGTTTCTTAGTGAAAGGCCCCCTTTTTTTACGTCTGATTCATTAATATTTCGTGCTGCATATCCGTTCCCAAAAGTCTATCAATCTCTCTATCTGTCTTTTTCTATTTCTCTCTCTCTCTCTCTCACACACACTAAATCCGAGTATATATGTAACTATTTTGTCTTTCAGTTCATAGTAAATTTCCTGTATAAAGTGGCCACAGGTCAGATGAATGAGGTGGACGACGTCAGGGAGGAAGAAGTGGAAGAGCAAGTGATGCAGAAGATGAAGTCAAAACAGAACAATGTCAAAGCGTAAGTTTGAATGACAAGTTTTCAGTTTATTTCACCACAAGTTTGTTTTAAGCAAGATTTGACAGTTATGCCTTGGGAAATTTCACCTGCTCCTTGAGGTTAAAAATACAACATTGCGTTTCACCTTGGAATGATCTTTTATTATCAAATTACTATTTTGCAGTTAAGATTTTGAGCACAGTAATACCAAAGAAGTATTCTTTGATAAAATTGAAAAAAAAAATTAATCATTTCAGTGGAGGAGACTTCAAGAATAATGACCTGTCACCTCGCAGACGATCTGCTCGCACTCAGGGTAGAAAAGACGATTGATGCTCTGCAGCTGTTGCAGTAGTCATTTCCAAAAATGTTTACAAAAGGATGCTCAAGGTCTGGTTACAAAAAAAGGAGGCAAACAGTGGTTTGAATTGTGACACAGTGGGACAAATGGAGCATTTGTCCACTTCTGTGTAGCAGTGGTGGATAGATGCCACATTTCATTGAAATAAGAGATTTTTTGAAGAGGGATTACTTAAAGAGAATGAGGAATGGAAAGAAAGAAATGATCAGTATGTTGCACACAATTTTTCATCCAAGATTGCATTTATTGNGAAATCTGTATGACAGATTAAATTCAGTTTTACAGCAGTTAAGTTTTTTCCATGATGTAATCATTTTGCGTTATATCAAAGCTTTCAATTGTAGGGCCATTCAACAGTATTATAATCAAGAAAACAATGAAAATGTTATTAAGGGAAAAAACTTTTCTTTGTAGCTTAATAGCTCTACCCTTATCACTGCAGACTGATAATTCCTACTCGTGTGAAAAATGTTGCTTATGGTAATGTAAAATCGGAAAGCATTTTCATGTTTTATACCCACTAACATAATGGTTAGTTTAAATTTCAAGAGATTATTTTATTAAATGTTGATTATTGTCAAAACAAAGGATTTTACCATACAGTTTTTTTTTTAACCGGAGCAAGTTCCTTTGCTTGTGGGCTGATTATATTAACATCTGGTACTAAGAATTATGCTAGCTAACAGTCAGTTGTATACTGGTAGAGTTTTTCGAGAAGCCATGGCTTTTTTTCTTTGTTTTGTTTTGTGCACAGTTTGATCTGTTTAAAAAGTATTCCGAGCACTATCGTAATGTGATACTAATAAATATATAGTAGAGAGCTGGAAGCATCTTTGCTTTAAAATTGGTTTTTAAATGCTCATTTCCAAGTACAAAACCGTTTTCTATCACTGCTCCTTACTGGTCTTTGTATGTTTTTGTAGAAGTGAAATGCATTTACGAATGGCTGGTGGTACATGCCATTGGAGAGGACTACACCTGTCCAAAATCTAGTTTTATTGAGATCCGTCATTCTTTTGTGAACACATGATCTACTTAATATGATATATTGTACATTTTTAAGATGGGTGTTACACAGTGAACAATTATCAGGAATCTTTTGTTTGTGTGTCAAATTAATCTATTTAATCAAGGAGCATATCTTTTTATATGAGATTATTTGGGAGTAAATGGTTTTGTATATGCATATTAAAACAGATTGCCTATTAATAGATATTATCTTAAAAACTTCCACTGAAGTTACCAAAGCATGATTATACTTAATGGGTGATGCTTTAAATTTGGCTTGTTAAAATGACATTATTTAATCATTTTTAAAAAGTGTTTTATGTACTTTTGTCAGATTTGTAAGTCTTTTGTTATGCAAATTATGCTTTAGGGAGGGCTGATTCAGACATCTACAGTAGGGTATTAATCTGTTTTTGAAATCATCTAGTCTGATAAACCTGGTGAAGCAAGCAGATTTTTAATATGATGTAATCGATGAATAGTATGGTTGTTCAGAATTTGCTAGCCCTCAGGTCATGGGAAATGATTGCCAGTGTGTGTTGGAAAGGGGATTTTCAGAAAAATAATCATATGCATTTTGTCGGAATGTCTCTCATGCCTGCAAGAGGTAGAGTCACAGGCTATTTTGGCACATCTAAAACTTCTCCCTGGAGATTTTTTCAGTTGGGGATTTTTTCCCCCCGTATGTAACATGCCCAAGTAGAAACTATTACAAAATTTGATTTAATCTATAGGAACATAACGAGTTGAATTCATTGAATTCAGAGGTAAAGGTTCTGTGAAGGATGGCAGTAATGCTTTTTTATTGAAATTTACAGGCGATTAATTTTTTTACAATATACAGGCCAGAAACTTTCCTTAAATTGCTTATTTGTATATGTTTGTGTGTGTGCACAATAGTGTAGAAATGTAGATAAGTTAGTAATGCTGCTAGATGGAACAGGTTGATACTTGCATTTCTGTTGTCAATTAAGATTTATAGAAAAATAAGACTTGCATATTAAATGTTATAAGGGGATGTTTTTTTTTTTTTTCGGTTCTAAAGAGAGACAAGCCTGAACAAATTGTAGAACAAGTTGAGTTTTGTATGTGCTATTGTACTACATATGCGTAAAAAAATCTTAAAACAAACTGGGGAATGATTGCATTTCAGTATGTGTTTCTGACAAGGTCATCATTTTCAGTTGAACATGAAAGGCCTTCAGACTCGTACTTTTGTATGACCCAGACATTGTAGAAGACACTTTTACAATTTTTTAAATGGTTTATCTACAACTTGCAGCATGGATCCAGTCCCGTTATCCTATAGTGTACTCATTGTGTTAACATCATTACATCATTTAAGTGTAAACATATTTACATTTGAAGTTTAGCTTGTTAAAAACTGTGATTGTATTCTAATTATGTGAAATAATTGTTGTGAATTGGTAGTTTTCTATTATATGTGTCACTTTTCATCTTTTGTATGATTTAGGTCAAACAAACACTATATAGGGTAATTTTTTGTTTATGGCAGAACATAAAATTGTTCAACATCTCAGTGTGTAATAAAATCGTGGCACTAATATGAATTGTTTTTCCCTTAAAATAGCGAAATGTTATATAATGCTGATACAATAAAATAAAGTGAAAATTAGAACAGCTGACTAACAGATCCACAGATCAAATATGGCAATCCACTAAAAAGCTTGTTGCTTAATTCCAGATTGGACACAGAATAGATCCCACGCAGGAATTATGTAACGAGCATTCAAGTGGGACGGACGTATTTGATTTATGGATCTGTTAGTCCATTGTTCTGAATGCCCGCTGACAGAAACATCTTTTTTTTTCAATATAACCCTATTATCATTATTATATAGTACTATTATTAATGCCCCCTTTAATTTCATCAGTATGTATAAATCTACATATTTTTATAACTTCCGTATGGTTTGTTTGCTTATGACAGCTTAACAAATCAGAATCTATAGGAATGAAGCCATAGATTTAAACTGAATTTATGACAAATGTTAGTGTCGCCAAGTGCTGAAGAGGTACTGAAATTACGCCTTAAAGGTAATATACCATACGTGTTCAATGTTTTTCCACTTTCTGCCATGTCATTTGGTTGCAAAGCTGCAAAAGTATTAGTATCCAAGCATAACTTTTGTATCCAACATCAATTTGTATGTATAACAGCTGTGATTCACTTAGTGATATTACCCCATGACCAGCTTCCATTTTACCCCTTTGATCTCCTATTTTTCTCAAACCATGACTAGTCAAACCATGTTATGATTATAATATATCTGATATCACAAAAAAACCTACAGCATTATCACTATTGTGTCACAATCATCACAGAACAGTTAGGTGTGGTGCAGGGTTCCTTTTGTCTAAAAAGCTCTCCTGTCCATAGTATTCCCTTAGGTCACAGGTGTCAAACTACAATCCCACTTGGTGCTAAGAAGAGGCTACCCATCCGTGCAGCAATCCAGGCTGGCTCCACTGCCTCTCCATAGTAACCTACTATATGCAGTGTCCCCCGGCAGACGGCCACCAGCTCTCCCAGGTGGATATCGTTTACCATGTCACAGTACTCCAGATTCAGATATCTCAGCTCTGAGGCATAGGATGTGGACCTGTGAGGCAGGAACAGATCTTCATATTCCTGGAAAAAAAATGAGTCATTGAAGCTGAAGTGTGAAAATGGGGCATTGATGGGTCTTAGGCTTCGTTCACATGCAATGTCTATTTTCTAAATTCTATTTTCTATTCGCGCTATCTTATGATCACGGTCTGTGCACTGAATATTCCGCCGTGTAATTACTGGCAGCGCGAGCCAGTTACTTATAGTAACTTATAGTAACTGGCTCGCGCTGCCAGTAATTACACCGCGGGATATTCAGTGCACAGACCATGATCATAAGACATACCGCGAATAGAAAATAGAATTTAGAAAATAGACATTGCATGTGAACGAAGCCTTAGACCCCATTTCCAGAGATTAGATCGATCTACTTTAGATCGACCTAACTCCCTGGGGGTTCACGCTAAATAGCTGTCAGCCGGGCAGACAGGAAAGTTAATTATCCCCTTACAGCTTGTAGTAGGCGGGACGGACATTTAAGCTGGATTATCTGACAGTAATCTAGTGAGACTCCCCGCTGGGATAGATTGATCTAAAAGCTCTGGGAATACAGCCTTAGGGTGAGAAAAGCGATAGCCAAAGCAGTTATATGTTAAGTGGCAAACACGTATGTGCAGAACAAGATGCAGACATGGCAAGATATTGAAAATTCTGTATTGTCTCAATAAACTAGATATTACTTATAAGACAATTTGTTGGTCAAAAATACATTTTATAGCATACCTCGTCGCTTGAATCTCCAGTGTTAGATTCTGGGTGATCCTGTAAAAACCTGCGCTCCTGTATCTTGAACCTCAGCACTGCTTGGCTTCTCCTCCATTTTGCCACATCTGAAACATGCAAAGAATGTTATTTTTAACCAAAATCATCTGTTTCCAATGTACCAATGGTAATAATTTGACTCCGTGTCTACCATAAATCAATTATTCTGATAGTGACATGGTATAAAAAACTTACCAGAAATCATGGGTAAGTAAGGTTTGGAAGTAAGCATCTTATTGCCACCAAGACTCAAATGCCTCAGGAAAATACAGGACTGCAGCACAGTTGATACCCCATCATTTGTTACCCCTGTAAGGAAACAACACTAGCTAAAAGTTTTGAATTCAGAATCAACTAATAGTTTACTTCTAAGTCAACTAATAGTTAGTCTTTTAAGTCTGAGATTTTTAATTTCTAATAATAGCTTTTAGCATGTACCAGATCCTTTTGGGGATTTCTTACAGGAAAAAGTAAAACAGACATCAAGCAAATAGCAAAAGAAATTAAAATACAGAAAAAGAAATCATTTTCCTATTACTTGCACCTCAGTTAAACAAGACAAGCTTTAATGTGGCATACACAAATTCCAGCTGAGGTCCAGCTGTTCCAGCAAGTCCAGCCTGGTCACCCAGTGACAGCTAATGACAACATCCTCATTCATGGAGCCTATACCAGACAGGTTGAGGGAGGTCAGTAAGGGGCAGTTCTCTGAGAGCAATTTCAGGGTGTTAGCAGTGGCTGGACAGCGACGCAGGGTCAAGCTACGGAGCTGAGAGCAAGCTGTAGCAATTTCGTTCAGTCCGTCTTCAGTAATGTTCTCACACCATGACAGGTCCAAGTCTTCTAGCTGGTAGAGGCAATCAATGAAACATTGATCAACGTTACTGTTTTAATATACAATTATCAATAATAATTTTGTTATAAGCTTTACAAATTTTGAAGACAATACAGGAAGTCGATTCCATATCAAGGCTATATTTTAAACAGGTTAAACAATACTTGGCACTGAAAAGAGTATGATCTTTCTTGTCTTAAAAAACATTTACACTAAGCTATTCACTTCAATATAGTCAACTTGGCAACAAGCACGTGTCAACATACTTTGTCCTTTCCATATCTGACAATATTCCTCAGTGCCACATCAGTGATGTCACTCTCTGCCAGAGAAAGCTTGCGTACGTTCCCAGAGCTTACCAGAGCAGTTATTGCTGGGTCTTGGATGAAGTTCACTCCTTTCAAATCAATGTTTTGTAGGTGCTGACAGGAAATACCCAGCTTTATTATACTGGATGTGTACAGATGCTCACATTCAACCTGAATACGTAAACATGAAACTTCAGTTGAGATTGCATGAAATGAGACTACACTGAGGATTGCCTTAGGTGAGACATGTTTTGATAATATTTTATCAAGCAACATTGTGAAATGCAAGGCTCGCATAATGAGGAATTATCTGTATATTATTTGCTAATATGATATTTGCTTTGAACCCATCATTTATTCTTGGTTAACCATATTAGAAAAAATATATAAACTCACCAAGGACACCGTTTTTAACTCCCTTTCACTTTCTATGACAGCTTCAAAAGAATGGTCTGTCAATTCCTTCCAAGCAATACTGAACATGTGAAGTCCTGGGTTTGCTTTGGCAAACGTCCGCAAACATGCAGTACCTAGACTAACACTGTGAAACTTCACATACATGATGTCCAAGTTAAGGATGCTGGGCTGGTAGGTCTGACGGGCTATTTGATTTAGATCTTGATGTAATGTTTTGCACTGCAGCATCTTTTGCTCTTGATGATTCGGATCTTGTTTTCCACAGTTGACTGAGCCTTCTACAGACTCAACATATGGCAGAGTACTTTGTTGCATAGGCATGTTTGCATTGCTTTGGTTTTCAACACTTGCATTTTGCTCCGTGACTATTTCACTGCTTAACTGTTTCACAGAACTTTGAATGACTTCAGTAATAAACATATCAACAAACATATCAATTCCTTCATCTTCATTATTTTCCCTAGAACAATGTTGTATATTTTCATTCTCTAAAATTTCATGACAACTAGTCTTCTGAGCACCTGAGAGAAGATCACAGACATGGGCTGTTTTGGGGCAAGAAGGTGAAAATGCATTTGAGGGTTCACTGAAAGTTAAAACATGATTTCTTGCAGTTATGTCACCAATGCATTCTGACACAGGATTGTCAATTAGATTTTCAGAGGCTGGATTACAGGAGCTAGTCATTGCACATGCTTCTTCAACTCTTGCATTTTCAACCTCATTTTTCTCAGAATTTCTACACTGATTAAAGTGAGTTAGCTCCACAGTAACATCCTCAAGCTCTAGAGCTGCACCATTTGGCCCTTCATCCACACAGGCTGCAGGTCCAGATATCACAGCTTCAGGCTTTACAAAGACATGGGGTCCATCTGGATTTTCATGCAAAACAGTTTTGTCAGCACCAGCTGGAGAATATTTAACTTCTGTACTTGAACAGGATAAAGTATATTTCTGAAATAAACCCTTAAATGCATTCTCTGGTGTGTTGGCTTTCACAGCACTGGCAACTTCTATCAAGGTTAATAACTGGTCAGAAATATCTTTCTTGATAGATTTTTCATCACTACTTATCGTTTCCAGTACATCTGTCAGTTGAACTGCTGTAGTCAGACTATATCCACTTAGAAACCACAAGGCTGTGCAATCAAACTGGAAGAAAAGGTTAAAATAAATTGGTTATACTTATCATTATTTTAAACCTCCAACTAAAACAAACTCATACCAACAACTAGAAAAGCACTCACAAAGTGCAGACTTCCACCAAGAAAACTCAGTTCTCATTTTTTAAAAATTCATCATTAATCAAATCATAGATATAGAGACAAGTTATGTATGTAGTAATACATACAACATATAACTGAAAAACACCCTTAAAACCGAATTAAGCATATGCCGCCATGGTCACTTCTCTAGGTATGTATTTGATTGATGCAGTGGTATACATATGAAAAACATAGTTCAAGCTGTAATTATTTGTGCTAGTGATCCAACTGCGATGGGCAGATGTTGTATAATGGGATATATTTAAATCATCACATTGTCAGATGGTAATTCCTATCACCACCAAAATCAAATCACTTTTAAAAAGGTAGCCCATTTGTGACCTATCCTGATCATTTCATCAAAACCCATCCATAACTTTATAAGTTAGGTTGGTGAAAAACACAGACAAACAGAGGTGAAAAAAATCACCTCCTTGTGAAGGTAATAGCCACTATGTGCATGTTTAAGAGGAAACATGGCAGCTGAAGGCCACTAATTGTCACTTCAAGAAGTGTTTATGATAAAAAAGAAAAATTTTATTGTGGTTATATCAGGATTTTTGAAAACTAATATAACTGGACTGCAGTTACTGTGTCAGTGTGTGATTGCTTTTAAAAAAGGACTTATTGGTCTAACTAGGTACCTTCCTATTTTTGCTACGAGGCAAGCCATGTTGTCCAAGATCAAATCAACCCATCCCATTATCAAGCTATGTTTTATCATGATGAAACAAAGCAAGCTACATGTATCTTACCGTGAAACAAGCCATGTGAACATCCCTGAGAGATGGACCACACAATGAAGTCAGGTAACAGAGGGCAGCACTTGTTAGGCCAATACAGCCTGAGATATTTACACTGGAGAGTTGATGTAAGAATTTGGTTTCTGGTTCCTGGAAGAGCAATCAATAAAAAAAAAAAATAAATAATAATAGTCAGTTTGGTTTACAAATAAAGATCTTAAGACACATTCCCTTTCATTACCCATTAATGAATAAACTACACTGTATATTAGTCATTGCTATTACATGCATATCAAGACATTTATCAAAACTGTTCATTGTTATGGGAACAGTGTTAGTACAAAAAAGAAATATTTTTCTGACATGGCTCTTGGAAAGTGGGAACACAATTATCATGATGCAAACAGGTGTTATTATTTATTTCTGATAAAAACAACAAAAGCCTGAGAGACAAATGAGTGGGCCATAGTGTCCTTATATAGTTTGGCAGTGGCTTACTTGTGAGGCCATGGAAGCAAGAAGCTGTGTCTCTGGGTCCAAGAGGAAGACGTCATCTGTGATCCCTCCATTGCCAGACAGGTCTAGGTGTAATAGGTGAGGGTGGTGTCTGAGTATAGCCTGAAATCCAATAGCATTCAATATTTTATCTCATTTCTGAAAAGATGTTTACAGTTTTCAACCACCAGAAAATGATGCGGCTGGTACCTTAAAATGTCTTGTACACATTTTTATTATCTGAAATTGGGTGTTGAAATTGAGGGTTTACACTTTGGAATCAAGTATAGGCATCTGTTTTAAAACTGCATTAGTCAATTTACTTACATGGACTACTGCATCGTTCACCAGCTCACAATTTCTCAAGGACAATGACATCAGATTTTGAGTTATTTTTCCCAAATCTTCAAAGACTTTTGGCTGACTCAATTTGTCATTTTCAGACAAATCCAAGGACTGCAGGTGACTGCATCTAAAAGTCCAATGTGATAGAGTTTTAATCAGCTTCAAGAGTTCATTAAAATATATATTGACAAATAAAGTGATTAATGACCATTAAAGCAATTACATGTGGGTTTTCTCTAAGTTTCACTTTTTGCTTCAAACGAGATAAAACTCTACAATTATATGGACAAGTTGTACTTGTCTTAATTTGTTGTAAAATAACAGTTATATTTTTCAATTTTCCCAACAGTCAAGAACCTACTTGTGAAGCACCCTGTGTATCCCCGCTGCAGAAATCCCAGAGCATTTCTCCAGAGACAGCTGCCGTAGGTGTGGAGGCGACAAGGCAACCAGTAACTCGTTGGTCAGCTTTTCAGGGTAATCCTTGATCAATGTCTGGAGAAGGCCCTGCATAAATAAAATTTTACAACATGAAAGTTTATGAAATGGACAAATTAATTGTACTACACAGCATATTGAACACGTAACATAAAAGATGAACTGTTCATTGCCCACAGAATATATTTTCGAACAACTTACATATGTAACATTATAAATGTTGCATGTAGTAATTAGGACAGCAGAGTTGCCAACTCTACACATTTACACCTATTCTAAATATTTTTTTATACATTGACATACACAGGTGCTGTATCATTCTATTTATTAATGAGGCATTACTGATCAGTGCATTTTGAGTATTGTCATGCTGGAAAACCTGGGACAGAAAAAAAGAATGCTTTTCAAAGGAAAAGAACCATACTTACCTGAGATACTGCAGTATAGTTCTCTGTATTGAGACATGCCACTAAGTATTTTGAAATGTCCTGTGTGGACTCATCACTTATGTTCAAGAGGGAATAGAGCACTATCCTCTCTGATATCATATGAAGTGGGTACACCTGAGACATGGCTCACACCATATACTGCATTTCATCTTCCATTAGGTGACCATATTCTTCAATATATAAAAGGGTAAAGGGAAAAAGGAATGCTACCAGTGCACTCAAGCCTGCTGTAGTTCCTTAAAAAAAAAAAAAAAAAAAAACACTAGCTCACATAAAAACACACACAGGAAACAAGGCTGTAAAAATGATAATTAACTTTAAAAATGGACAAAATAATACGACAACATTGTCAACTGCAAACCAAAACAAAATATTCCTCTTATTTATCATGCATTTTGTACTTGTAGCTGTGGTGCTAATGTTGGGAATAGCTCATTGTCAACAGTAAATATATCTATCTATCTATCTATCTATCTATCTATCTATCTATCTATCTATATATATATATATATATATATATATATATATATATATATATATATATATATATATATATATTTTTTTTTTTAACATTTAAAAACGCGTTTCATTTAAGGCACCGTGCCAGCCCAGACATATACCTTATTTCTCTTCGTTCCTTAACTTTCAAAATGAATCCGAATAAGTTATCGTCCCAGAACCTGCTCCTCGTAGATGCAACGGGAGAGTAGAGTGTAGGCGTAAGTAATTGAGTACTGCTACTCTGAAACAGTCAGCAGGCTGTAGACAAACTGCAGAGTCCTCTAAATTCTCAAAATACTTTCCTTGGTTTCACCATTATACCTGTGCTATCTCTGTGTGTCTCCAAGTCAGAAAGTTTCTAAACCTTCGATGCCGTCTTCTGCCTCACGGTCTGATAGTTAGACTCAGCCTCGTCTTTATCATACGATAACGATAACGTACAATCTAAAACGAGGTCTTAGAATGGATGATAAAAACATTTAAGTAGGTCGATACCAATGTCAAGGTTGCTTGCTATATAAGTCGCTTATTTTTCTCTTTCAAAAAATAGTACATAAAAAAGGAAAATGCATTAAAAAACAAGACGAGAAATTTTTGTTAAGTGCTTTTAGTTTTTTTTTTATAAATTTAACATACCAGATCTTATTCATGGGATATTTTCTTTTTGGTTTTCTAAAACAATTAATGGGACTTGAGCGACTTTGTGATATCGTCAACAATCTTCGGCATGGAGATGAATGCTGACAGTATTTTGCAAAAAATGTTGACCAATAAAGCATGATGCACATGGAGTCATCTTCTATCTTATGAACTCTATGGCTTCTGTAGCAACAAAGGCCAGGGGGAGAAACAGAAATGCCAATAGACTGGAAGTATGTCGTCACGCCGAAGATAGCACTGCTTGAGGCTCTCGTTGTTGTAATTTTCTTAACAGGCGACGGGCTGCTGGGATTTTCATTTGAATCTGCTTATGCTGATACTTTACGAGCACTGTCAGACAACTTAACCCATGGCCTGATTGCAGCAATTTCATGGGCGATTGTCATTGATGGACAAGCTGATTCACCACGAGGTGCTTTACTGCAGATTTTATTATGTGGCGCTCTGGGCAGTTTGGTGGACGTTGATCATTTTCTTGCAGCTAGATCACTTAAATTAAAGGTGATTTCATGCAAACACAATCTATAATAAATGACATATGGCAATCGATAGTAATATTGTCTACTTCATTTTTTTTATTGTACCTAATGACTTCGTCAATTCTATGGATAATTTATACTTTGTATTAATTTGGTGTTAATTTTAAAATGGTTACTACATGTGTAGCACGATAATTCATGCGTTAGCACTCCTATTGACGATAGGACAGACTACATATCAGAATCATAAATAGGAGTGCTAACCCATGAATTTTCGTGCTACTACATGTGCTGGTACAATGTCGTAGTTATTTGACAGTCATATATGAAATTCATGTAAAAACACTATCCATTGTATATTTAGATATACTGTACAGCAAGATATTTCTGACATATACTGTACAATATGAGTGCAGCACATTCTAACAAGGAGTTTCAACAACTGTTGAAACTCCATAAAAGTTGTTGAAACTTCTTAATTGATTCTAGTTTCTAGTAAAAAAACAAAATGAGTCAAATGCTTAAATGCTAACTTTCAACCTTTTCTCTCTAGGCTGCCCTGTCTTTACCTCAAAGACCACCATTCCATGCTACAACTGTCATTCCTGTAATTTCACTGGTAATACTCGTCACTCAAAGACTCACTCAGACCAGGCACCTGCCGTACCTGCCTCTGTTGTTCCTGGTCTCCTGGCTCTCTCACCACACCAGGGACGCAGTACGGAGAGGATACTGGATGTGGCCATTTGGAGAAACTCCTCCTTTACCCTACGGGACTTATGTCATGTTAAATATAGGACTTCCTCTGATAGTGAGATGTATTGTACTGTATTCAAAATTGTCTGAGCAACCTCACCTTGGTTTAGAAGTTGTTTGAGACTGTTCATATCTCAGTAGAAAAATTGATTTTGCAAATACAGTACTACAGTATAACATTATAGGCATAGTACTCACTAGAAAGCACATTTTATACAACCTATTATGCCCTAGACTTTTTTTAAATTTAATGTTAAAATATTCTTAAACCAAATCTGTGAAGTAATGTGCAATAATGTCAAGCATTAAGCTGGCCATGACAGTGTGACAATACCTCAAGTGCTGGGACACATGACTGAAATTAGGGGCTGGTTTCCTCTAAGTCATGACACAAGAAAAAATTCTGGAATTAATAAATAAAAAATACATTATCATACTATCACAGATTCTTTGTTTTCAGGTGATTGCTATAACCTCCTGTTACTTTCAAACTCCCATATCAACATACTGTTTTTAAAAAAATTCTCTTCTTGTTTTTTAATTGAAACTAAGAAAGTGGTTTTAATGTGCAAGTATACTGAAACAGTCATGTAGTAGTAGATAAAAGATATTTTTATTTTACATTTTTTAAAGGAAACAAGAACATCCATTAACTTATGAAAAACTTTTCATTTGAATATTCTTTTAATCTTAAGGCTGCTGTTTATAGCAAAAGGGGGGGGGGGAATTCAGCTTAATTTGGTGCTAGTAGCTATACTTTATATTTTTTCTACTTTCCTGGTAAGTACATTGTATATTTGGCTTGTCTTGTAAGTTACTTATCTTGAAGGTCCACTATCTATTTACATTAAAAAGTTACCTCAAGTCGCATTTTCTTTATCTACTGTGGTATATGTCCTGCAAAGCTACTAATCTTTCCCAATTCAGACCTTAAAAAACTGTAAAATGCCTCAATTTAAGTACATGATGTCGGTAGTTCCCCCTGGAATGTATAGGTACATTTAGACATGGCATTTTAAATGACTAACTAGTCAAACATAACAAAATCATAAAATTAAAAATTAAATAAAACATCTAATTCAAGTGCAGGGACGTGTCACCCAATGATAAGTGAGTAAGAGAAAATTCCTTTATTTCCCGATCAAACCCTGCATTGAGTATCTTTATTCAACATCCAAATGATAGCTGATGTCATTTATTATGGTTATTTATTATTATCATCCAATAATTAATTTTTCATAGATATGCTTATTCACATATCGTTTTATTTTGTCTTTATCGTCGATACCAGATACACTATGAAAAATTATTTTCTTTTCCTCTCTCTTTTGGTGATAATCCGAACTGCAGAAAACGAAACTGCAGAAGCAGATAAGAAATGAGAAGACAAAACCTTAATCCACAAAAACCTACTATAATTTAGTTGGAAAGAATACTACTTAACGAATAACAGACATTAAAAAAATTTAAAAAACACCGACCCACTAGACTTTAGTCTAATGTAAACAGCGCAAAATGAAAGTAAGCTCGAAACTAAATGTCAATTAGGTATATGGCTCTGCGTCAGCGACTTCCGATGCATACACAAACTAGCCGCTGTCAGGGTATTTAAAGATCTGCTTATTGTGAAGCTGCAAAATGACAAAAGACACAGAAACGCTAATACGGCTACCAAAAAGAAAGCAGAGCTCGCATGACTGTCTGATCAAAAATTCTGGCTGTTTGTGGCTGTCACTGACATCAGTGTTTACGATAGTACTGATAGCATGCTTCACGTTGCTGTGGGTATATATTTCCTCAGGCCCTTCTCGAGATCCTGGGTCCATTGTTCAGCGTTTATTCTTCCGAGTCAAAGCGGCTGGAACAAACGTAAAACAAGAATGTGCAATTACGGATGAGAGAAAATTTGACTGCCACCCAGAAGTCGGTGCTACGAAATCCATTTGTGCTTCTCGTGGCTGTTGCTGGAAACCAACCACCCCGTCTGCTTCAAACTTAAATTCAGTGTCTTCCGTTGGCGTGCCATCTTGCTTTTATCCCCTGAACTACACAGAATATCACGTTGGTAATATTTCACGGACCTCAGATAAAATCACTGCTTTTTTGTCAAGAAACACCAGTTCATATTACAAAGAAGATGTAAAACTTCTGAAACTGGTTGTAACATATGAGTCAAGTTATAGAATCCATATAAAAGTAAGTGATTCAAGCCTGCATAAAAAATCTATTAGCACGCTGTTATTGATTAAGCAAAATGTAAAAAAAAGTATTTCAGCTGTAAATCAAAGTTAAAATACTAGTGGGGTCGGGTAAATAATAACTTTGTGTGTGTGCGTGTGTTAGATTTATTTATTTTTGTGCAGTTTCAATCTACTTGATATATTGACTATGATTTAGTAGCGTCTTGCAGAAAATTGTCACTTTTTGTGGAACTCTTTCATCCCAGATATATGATCCTTTGCACCCAAGATATGAAGTTCCAGTTGAAATAAACAAGCCAGCAAAGATATTCGGTTCTTCTTCAGCTGCTTCATCCTTTGACATAAAGATAACAGAGTCTCCCTTCAGCTTTCAAGTGTACAGGAAGGATGGACATGTCAAACTGTAAGACAATGTAACTCTGAACTTCAATTTTATTTACAAAATTTCAATAATTTTTAAGAGCAAAGAAATATCAGTTGGAGTTCCTTTCAGATCAGCACTGTCAATCATCTCACGTTCTTTTGTTCTGGTGTACTGGTACATGTACCATTCTATGCAGAATTCTGGATTTTATTCTCGTTTTAAGTAGCTAGAATTGAAAAATATAATGGTAGCTTTCAGACCCCGATTTGTGCGACACTTAACAAAATTTCTCTTTCAGTTTAGACACCAGTGTTGGTGGCTTCATCTTTGCTGACCAGTTTCTACAGTTGTCCACACTGCTGCCCAGCAGGTATGTCTATGGATTGGGTGAGCACAGGGCCACACTGCTGCACTCACTGAACTGGACCAGGGTCACTCTATGGAATAAGGACAGGCCACCAGTGGTAGGCTACAGGGCCAGTGGTGGTGTGTGAGTGTATGTGCATTTGTGTGTTTGTTTGTGAGGTGGGTGCAGATCAGAGAGTTTTACACATTAGGCTGTATGTGTGTGTGTGTGTGTGTGTACTGAGTAGTCTAATGAGATGTTAATGAGATGAAACAATGTTAATTGTTCTTACACACATATCAAGAGTTTCATTCATGGATCTTGGGCCAGTAGGAATGTAACACTTAAAGTTTTACTCTTAAATGCCCCATTGTTAGGACCGACTGGATGGCGTTGTGGTTAGAGTGTCCGCCTCCGGAGCGGGAGGACGTGGGTTCAAACCCATCCGGGGACATACCAGTCCTTTATAAATGGTACCTGCTGTCTCCCCGCTTGGCACTCAGCACTAAGGGGTTGAAGCAGGGGCCTGGTCTGGCAAGTGCAGAATTGAAAGGTTAGCTCTGAGCGCCTAATATGGCAGGCGGGCTGTATCCTCCCCAGGGAGGTGAGAACGTCTATAGTGCAGCAGGGCAAAAAAAGACCAGGCTTCTCTCACATACATACATTTCATTTTATTTCGGGTTGTAATATACCAATAAAGATTATTATTATTATTATTATTATTATACTTCTTCTCCTCCCACACTGCCAATAAATAAAATGTGTATTTAAAAACATTTATTGTGGTTATATTCTAGGAGCACAGCAACCTTTATGGGTCACACCCTTTCTATCTGGTGATGGAGGAGGATGGTAGAAGTCATGGAGTCTTTTTGCTGAACAGCAATGCTATGGGTACACAGACGTGTGTGTGTGTGTGTGTGTGTGTGTGCACGTGTGTGAGTGGTAGTATGTGTGTGTGCGAGTGTGTTTTTGCACCCACACATGTCAATGTGTTATTAAAATATGTCTCTGTCTGAAGCAGTTTAAATGATTAAAATGTATAGTTGACTTTGAAACGATAATGATACATGTACCTATAACGTAAGAATGATGTAAGAAGCATAGAAAATATTTATTTTATTCTGGTTGCAGACTAATCAATAACATTTTACTCATTTGCAGATGTTATTCTTCAGCATGCGCCAGCTATTACCTGGAGGGCCATTGGTGGTATCCTAGACTTCTATATCTTCACAGGTCCAAGTCCAGCCAATGTCATTTCTCAATACACAGAGCTCATTGGCCGCCCATTTATGCCACCATATTGGAGTTTAGGGTTTCATATCTGTCGCTATGGTTACAAGTCAGTCAATCAGACCCTGGATGTTGCTCTACGAACTCATGCTGCTGGAATCCCTCAGGTTGGGAAAGGGATAAGAATAAGAAAGTGAAATAAATTTTACCTTTTGGAGTCATATTCTTTGCAGTATTATTTGCCTGTTTTCAGTGAGGCAGCCACATGTCACATATTTCATAATGAAATTATAATAATTGAAAGAAAATATTTAGGTGTTTGATTAATTTGCATACTAGCTGATTTACACACATTATTATATCTTAAAAGTTTTGTTGAAGTGCCATTGGTTTTAGTTTATGCTCTATCACTTAGTTTTGAACTCAACCTGTGTCACATTATAAATTACTTTATATCAGGAAGGTAAATTACACATATTGATTTATTAATCATTTTATTGATTTGTTTGTTAGTTGATTGATATGTTTTTACACAGTAGACATAGAGTACACAACAGCTAACTGCAGGTTTGTATTCAGGATGTCCAGTGGGATGATCTTGACTACAGCTATGGCTGGATGGACTTCACTTATGATGCCGAGAGGTTTGGAGATGTGCCAGGACTGGCAAGGACACTGCATGACATGGGCATGCACTACATGATGATCTTTGTAAGAAAAGGACACAAGATATGATTTTTTTTTTAAATTTTAGTCTGAAATCTGTTTTTTTGGCTGTTTTGCAATTAACTCAGGTGGTCCCCTGACCCCTAGTCACAAGGTCATTGAGCCATGTTTTCATACTTTGTTCTTATAACCCAAAAACATGACTGAGGTACAGCTAACAAATATTGAAGTGATACTAACTTCACTGTTCCCAAAGTACATAGTTCAATTCATCAATTAATAATAAAATATCACATACGTGGTGTGTTTGTCCCATATTTAGCTACTGAATACTTTTTTGCAACTGGTCAGTATTTATATTTAGATTGAAGAATTATTCTTGTCATTTAAGATATATATTATAAGATGATATCTGTTTTACAGGATCCTGGCCTAAGTAATTCTCAGCCCATTGGATCTTATTTGCCATATGACTATGGTATGGAATTAGACCTCTTTATCAAGGATAATGTCACAGGAAAACCACTTGTTGGGAAGGTAATTGCTGTATTCCATTTGGATGCCATGTGCATGTGTATCAAGTTTAATTGTGAAAATATCCAGTCTTTAAGCATCAGTAAAAGTCACCAGAATAAATGGATAGCTTTCTGTACACATACAATTTCGATTTTTAGATAAATTTATTATGCATCTCTGAGTAACTGCCACTATTGAATGAAAAATACAATACCCTGCCTTATTACATGTGCAAAACAGATGTTATAGGAAATAAATCTGTATATATGTTTTGAAATTGTTATATTTCTTAGGTGTGGCCAGGTACTACAGTGTGGGTGGACTGGACCCATCCCAAGGCTCAGAAGTACTGGACCACCTTGGTGACTGGCTTCCACAATCAGGTGGAATTTGACGGGATGTGGGTGGTAAGGAGGGATTTTAATTCATTCTTTGTAATGGGCTTTTGTTCTTGTAACCATGAGTAAAAGTGCTGAGACATTATGTACATGTGACAAATGATACTGGTCCAGTACCTGGTATTATATCTTTTCTTGTTCAACTCTTAAAATAGAAATTGACAACACTATCAAATCTTGGACTAAACTGATATTTTTATGTTATATTTTCCACATTGGAAAACAAGTTATACTTAAGGATAATACATTTTTCAGTGATATGGATATTCCCTCTAAAGAAAAAAATGTTCACCTTTCCTCCCTCAAGTTTTGATTCAAATTATTCAGTTTTTTCCCTTTTTTGGTCTAGGACATGAATGAACCTTCCAACATGGTCAATGGGGCAGTGGATGGTTGCCCCAAAAATTCTTCTCTGGAAAACCCACCATATGTCCCAGCAGTTCATGGAGGAAGTCTGAAATTTTTCACCATCTGCCCGTCATCCACTCAGTACACCTCCTCACACTACAACCTGCACAACTTGTATGGGCTGATGATGACCAAAATGTCCCACAAGTATTTTAAACTCTCATAATCCTACATTTTCAAATTTATTTAGAAATGACATCCATTCTGCTTTTATTTATTGCTTTATGTTGTCATGCAACAGTGATTTTGAAGCACCAAATGTTAAGGATACCACAGTCAAGATACTGTTGAATATTGCCAACTGTAATTTTGGATGGAAAAATGATGTGTTTTCATTGAGCATAAGTTATCCTGATTTTGAAATGTATCCTTGCAGTGCTTTGTTGAATGCTCGACCAAACCAACGTCCATTTGTCATCTCAAGATCCACGTATCCAGGTCAAGGCAGGTATGGAGGCCACTGGACTGGAGACAATGCTGCCACCTGGCATGACTTGTATGCCTCCATTCCAGGTATATGTATACTTCCAGTGCATTGTCACAACTAGCACATTTTCACACCAAACACACTGCTGCCTCTAACTCAGTAATATAGTGGTGCAGCAAACTCTGCCACATGTCACAACTAATGCAATAAAATAACCAGCACAATAAACAGAATGGTACAACCAGCATCATCTCACCTAACACATGTTTAATATACCTGTCATGCTCAAGCTCTGCTCACAACATTCTGCCTTTTCCCACATATATCATCGTATCTATTTTCTGATAAGTTTTTTTTTCTTTTTGGTTGAATAATTTCAGGCATCCTGAACTTCAATTTGTTTGGAATTCCTATGGTTGGAGCTGACATCTGTGGGTTCAGAATGAACACCACAGAGCCATTGTGTCAGAGGTGGTACCAGCTTGGTGCCTTCTACACCTTTTCACGCTCACATCAGGAAAGAGATACAAATGTTAGTTACAAGTGAAATTATACTCTATGTGAAATATGTAATGAGATTTACATTTTAATAAATTTGTTCATTCATTTATGCAGTCATTCATTCCATTATTCTTTCTTTCTTTCTTTCTTTATTATTTTGAAACAACTGCCTATAAAGAATATTAATAAAAGGACACAAAATTCATGTATAAATGTGATATTTACTATGAAGTGTTATTGGCATATTGTGATTAACCCTCTGTTTTCTATTCAGAGTCATGATCCTACCATGTTCAGTAAAACGTTGATAGACTCTACCAGGAAAGCCTACTTGCTGAGGTATAGCTTGTTACCACACCTTTACACACTGTTCTATAACAGTCACACCAGAGGAGAAACAGTACTCAGGCCTTTATTCTTTGAGTAGGTAGTCTGAAACTGCTTGTCTATCTGGTTCTCAAAGTAGTAGTAATTAGAAGTAGTAGCCGTAGTAGTTTTCATTGTAGTAGTTGTAGTAGCAAGGGTGTATTAGAATGATTTAAGTTAATGGAGAACTAGCTTTTTATAAACAATCAAGTGACATAGCTTGCACCAAACTATCAAAGACACCAAAGGGTGAAAAAGAGGTGTAACATTAATTTTGAAATTATGTGTGTGCATTTCTTGTTTCCTTTGTGTATTTATTTGTGTAAAAGCATAAATTTATTATTTATTTTTGGTATCATTAATTTTTCTTTCAGATATCCAAAAGATAAAAATACATACGGTATTGACCAACAGTTTATGTGGGGAAAATGTTTTCTGATATCACCTGTGCTTTCTGAGGTAAAGACATGTACCTGTATGCTTAGTTTAGAGGCATTGTTTGTGCTTATTCTTTTAGAAATGACAAAATTGTTTTATGAAAGATTTAAATGACAAAAAAGATTTTAATGAAGATGTGACTTTATTTTTACTTCTGAAGAATTATCAGGAAATAATTTGCAAGCTGCAGTCAACAATTTCATTTAATGTTGGATTAGTTCTTCTTTTGTTATGGATTGGTTCTTCTTTGTATGAATTATGATGGAATTGTTAATAATTTTTCAGAACACTACAGAAGTCCAGGGGTATTTTCCAAAAGGTAGCTGGTACGACATTCAGACGGGGAGTCAACAGAAATCCAATGGACAATATGTTACCATAGCAACTCCATTAGATAAGATAAATGTTCACTTGAGAGAGGGCTGTGTCATAGTGACACAAACACCCAATCTCACTACAACAATGAGGTACATAATTTGGCTTTCTGAATTTGCTTAAGAACTTCTTATGAATGTGAATCACTTATGTATTTCCCTAAAGCACAGAGAGACTGCTGGTGTCAGACTTGATAAGTCCTGTCTTTGAAAACTAGAGAGAAAAAATTTTGGGTTTTTGAGGATGATTTTTGGGTTTTAAGCAGTATTATTACTTGGCTTGGTATTGGCTGTTAAATATGCAGCAAAACATTTCATTCCAATTTTGCATTAAAAATGAATGAATAAATTGATAAATAAGCATTCTCAGAAACCTGTGAACCATCACAAATAATTTTCAGTCGGAAAAACAAGTTTGGTCTGGTGGTAGCATTGTTGGATGATGGGAAAAGCGAGGGAGAGTTGTATGCAGATGATGGAAAGTCAGCAGGTAATAATAACAACAATTTGAAAATAATTGTTTGGCACAGTTTTATCAAACTTTTTATAAATAGTTTTATTACATCAAAAACCCAAAATAATCACAGATTTTGGTTAAATTGATTTATTTCTTAATCTGATTTTATTTCAACACTTTTTCAGACTCTATCCAGAAGTCAAAATATAATAGAATCTTATTTTCAGCCAGTAAAAAGGTAAGTTTGTTTTTTTTCCCCAAATTATTTACTTTTAAATAATATGGAAGATTGGCTTAAAATTGTATTAATAGTTTTTGTTTATTTTTATGTACATAATTTAAGAACTTCACATATTTGTATAAGTGTTATTGCCATCGTTTCCTAAAGCCCATGTATATGATAACACTGAAATATATAGACCTATGGGAATTCAGAGGCCAGATGATTACATAAATTACCTTCAGGACAGACAGATTACCTCGGCGGTGGACCACCTGGGGTATCATGAAGACATGGTGCTGGGGAACCTCACTATATTTAACATAGGAACCAAGCCAAGTCAGTTAACAGTCAATGGAGTGCTGTGTAATTTTACCTTCTCACAAAATCAGGTGAACAGATCAGTATTATGAACCCATAGATGTGTTACTACAGTACACAAATCATTTAATTACATATCACAGTAATATCATCCAGTTTTTTTTCATGGTGTCAGCATTTTTCCATTTAATTTGTAAGTAGAAATATGAGATTTGTTTCTATGCTTACTAGTGAGCCATGGGTACAATTAGTATTGTTTTTGAACAATATATTCTTAAGAGATTAATTTTTTTCCATCTAAAAGAGAACGAGGCAAAAGATGTTAAATTACCTGTATGTGCAGAAATTTTCAACTGCTCTTTGCTGCAGTCTTCCTCAGTGCTATTGTTTGACCACTAGGTGGAGTTGTGGTCAAAATGAATCTCTTAAGACTATATTATACATAATACATCCAGATGAACTTATTTTCTAATTGTTTTTGTATACTTCAGGTGATAAATGTGGAGGGATTGACTGCAGATTTGAAGAAAAGACTGACAGTCAAGTGGACATGATTACAAACTTGATTTTGGGAATATGAGTGGGGAGATAATTTTTGAAACATTTTAAGCCATAAGTTATTTTATTATGAACAGATTAATCATGCTATCATTTTAACAATTACTTGTTGATAAAAACAAACCAGGGACACAGACAGTGGGAATAGGAGAGAAATATCAGGAAATGCATTTGAATACAGCTTTTTGAATAAATAAACAAAGTGAATCTGCCAATGGCCATTCAGGGAGAAATATCATCTGTCACTCGAAGCGGGCACTAGGGCTTTTACTTCATTTAGAATGCTTTGTATATTTACCTGTAGGTAAATCCACAGTCCTGACTAAACCTTGGGTTTGTTATTTTACAAAATATTTGTTTTAATAAGATATATTTTCAAGGTATTTTTATGTACAGACACAGATGTGTCTGCACATATAGCTGTCACTTGCATCTGTTTCAAAACATGAAACATTTGTTTTGTATTGCTACCTTTCATATATATTTCAACTTAAAAATTCATCTAGTTTCAATAGTTTTGGGGATAAGGTTAAAGGGTCTCATAAGTGATAGAAAACAACCCATTTTCTACCAATGTCTAATTTATATTGCCTGTTGTAGCCTAAACCAGCAGGATTTATGGTACATTGGATGTGAATTTAAATGAGTGTGTGCAAAAATCATCATTCATTTTTAATAATAACTTTTATTGAACCAGATCCTGTTAAACACCATATTACAACATGATTTTAAACACTTTTTTCATAACTAAAACATAAAGTTAACTGGCTTTGTTAAACAATTAGAGAACTAACAAAACTGCATGTTTATGTTTGAAAAACCAGCCTGTTTCAACAATCCTGGGAAACACTACAATAACCATGGTCTAACAAGTTATTTTGCCAATTTTCCTTTAAATTTCTGTTTTTCGTTGAATATTTTTTTTCAAAGTCAGCCACTTTACCTGTTGCCAAGAAATTCTGTTGTTTTTCTTTTCTTGAATAATAAAATAATAAATAAAAATAAATACAATTTTAATTCATGTGATAAGTAAATAGGATATTTAGTGTAAAAGTTATTGTATGATATCAAACTATAATGTGTAAGTGGATCTTGACACTATAGCTGCTCATCCCCAGGCCATATGAAAGTGGTTTAAGAATTACCTGGATATTTGTTACCCATGGAATGACCTATGTATTTCCTGAAATGCGTAACACTTCATCTGTTTCCTCCTTACTCCATCTCTTATATGCTCGGGGCTAAAATGTACAATGAGATATTCATAAAAATAAACATGCTGCATATTGTTTAGGGAAATTTTGTTTAAAAATGTAACAGATGATGTCTTATTTTTGTTAATTAAATTAATTATTTATCAATAATTGAATTATCTATCTTGAATTGTTCACTTAAAGGATAGCTTTATATGGTACTTGCCTTTTTTTTTTTTTTTGAGATCAAGTCGGCATGAACCAAGTCAGAGTCTGATTCTCTTTCCTAGAGTGAGAAAAATGTACAAATGTATACACCATTATTCAATATGATGGAAATTTTTGTTTTTCAACACTTTACAGAGCACGTGGGTGGTACTTGACCTAAAAAGTCAGTGAAAATAGCACTGGGCACCAGTGTTGACCACCATTTGCTTAACAGCTAGACAGGTACATACAAACCCTTCTTCCAACAAATATTCACATTTTGACAAAACCAACAAATTACTTTTTTTTTTTGAAAACATCTTTATCAAAATTTAACTCTTTAAAGTTGATAATTTGTTGCCAGTTCAATGATACTTGCTTTACACTTGTCACTCCATTCCTCATCACTTGACTCATACCAGTCACTTGTGTCATCTTCCATATCTCCCTGTACCTATAGAGACAGTTTACAAATATACTTAATACATGTTGTCCATGCAGTAATAAATTATTTCTATTCAAATTTATTTCTCATAGTTGGTAACATCTCTGTTGAAAATATTTTATTGGTAGGACTTCAAGACTTACTTTTCCCTTCCTTTTTTTGTCGCTCTGCATGTTTTTTTCCCTACGTTTCCTGTTCTGTCGCTCTGCACATTGTTTTTTACACAACTTGTAAAAGTTTCCTGTGCAACCACCCACCTGACATAAATAGAACCATATTTCATCGGTGTTTTACATGTTATCAGGTAGTGCAACCATTCACAAAATCAGCAGTGTTAAAACTGGTGCATGTTGATTGCTGGTGACTTGAGGGGTTTATCATCAGACCCAAACAAAACAACACGAGTAATATTTCTGACCTAACCTGTCACTCTAAGCCAAATTCAAGAGCAAAATTTTAAAGAGTGCATTAGGTTCCTATTCATGTTCAAAGCAAGTATATCTAAATACTACACTTTTCAACCCCACAAATTTCAAGTTAACTTTCAAAGTTGGCCTAGAGCAGCAAAAGCAGCACTGCTGGCAACATCATAATATAGGTAAAATCTACTATACATGTACAAATCGGCCTTTTCACACCCTAATATACAGACTGCCATATCTTTACAGGCAGGTACATATGTATTGATTTTTTTTCCAACTACCAATTAAAAAAATATTTTTCTCATAATCATCTTAATAAATATTTAGCTCTTTAAAGTTGATAATTTGTTGCCGGTTCAGTGATACTTACTTTACTGTTGTCACTCCATTTCTCACCACTTGTATTTTGCTGAGAACAACCTTTGTGGAACTGACTTTCCAGGCATCTTTCTCTGCCAGAATTTTCCTATAGAAAAAAAAGGTATGCAGGCTAAAGCATTTTGTTTTTTGAAAAAGTAAAAATAATTTTTTTTCCAAGTTAATAAGGAGCAAGCTTTTGTTTCCAGTTATTGTGGGGCATATTCCAAGTGCCAATTATATGATAGTCACATTGTTGATTATAATTCATGCACAAAGTAGTACTATAATTTGCAGATGGAAAAGCCTTAGGTGATGTCATTTGGTGAACATGTGTATCAGTAGCACTCTACTGAATCTTTCAGATATGCTTACTATAAAATGAATGGTTTCAAATAAAAAAATAGGACAAATAATTTCTGGGTACATGCAGTTGTTTTCTATGAAATAAATGGACTGTATACTGACTGAAAAAAAAAATGCAACATTTCTTTTGTTAGGACCTCTTATTTGACCAATCCAACAATATAAATTTTCATTAAAAAAAATACAGTAGTTTATGATTATGATATACTTGATAAAATAACTTTGACATACGTAATATCTTTAAAAATCCATACTGCAATTTAGGAGCTCCTATAGAATTTTCAAAGATAAATAAAAAAAAAATAAATAAATAAACATATTGTAATTATACTAGTCTAGTAGCCTATCAGCCTCATGTACTGTATACTGGGGTAGCGCTAACACTCACCAGTTTAGCCATATGCTAAAACTGACTGAATTTGGCTAAACAAAATAGGGTTGATTTGACTGATTTTAGTCACATTTAAACCGTTTGGACAAAAAAGCGATGAAAAGTAGTAATTTGGCTAAATGAATAAAATTGCTAGCGCCACCCCAGGTACATACATGTTTACATTAATATTGACAAAATTTACATTGGAAAAATTAATGCAGTTCCATTACCTGATCCAGGTGGCTGATGACTGGAGCAATAGTCTGTCCCCTGCTTCCACCTCTGATTCCACTGACGGTCTGTCCCCTGCCTCCATGTCTGATTCCACTGCCAGTCTGTCCCCTGCCACCATCTCTGATTCCACTGATGGTCTGCCCCCGGCCTCCATGTCTGATTCTGTAAGTGTTGACAGTCTGTCCCCTGTCTCCATATCTGATTCCACTGGCAGTCTGTCCCCTGTTCCCTGAGTGTCAGAGTCACTTTGAATCGGGCTTCAACAGTGAACTCTGAAGAACAGCGACAGTGTACGACTTCCGTCAATCAAAAAGAACTGTTCCGTAGTGAATCGGCAGCTGAATGTCATTAAACCAAAATGAAAAGTAAAACAGATTTAATTCTGCTATATTTAATTTAATTTACTGTATTTAAGATGTAACGTGAATAAATAAATAATATTCTTCTAAAAGAAAAGATATATCCAATGTTTTTTGTATTTTTTGCTTATCAAAAAACATTTGCCCCTGGAGGCATGAACACACGTGATTGCCGTGTGCCAAGTTTGACGGCTACAGTGTATGCCCAATACCACTGTAATGGCTACACCAAAATCAGTTTTTAAAGCAGAATGTTGCTTGTATTGTGGCACTGACCTTCGACTGCAAGATATTTTTAATACAAACTTCTAACTCAGCCACTTTGCTTCTTGTCTCGTCTGCACGAGATAACATCAGCGCAAGGCAGGAAAGGCAGCTCCAGGTGGGCAAAGCTGTGACGTACGAGACTTATGACCTCCAAATATGGATCCAGGCGGACACAGCTGTGACGTGTTACTTCCAAATATGGAAGTGCCCCAGGCAAAATTTTGAAGAAGAACGACAACAGCTTGTCGGTGTTTGCTAGAGCCTGGTATTGCTGATATAGGTTATATATGAAATATTTTTTTAGTAAATAAGTAAATAATCTTACTCATTGTGATTGTTTAATTACATATTCACAAAAAATTGTATTCATATTGTCATTTCCATCCACACAAGTGGATGCATATGTTACAGTGAAATAAACTCTAAACTCTATGAAATCAAGATTGAGCTGGCAATACCGGAATCTAGAACCTAGGGTAGTCCCCTGCCACCATCTCTGATTCCACTGACAGTCTGTCCCCTGCCACCATCTCTGATTCCACTGACAGTCTGTCCCCTGTCTCCATGTCTGATTCCACTGACAGTCTGTCCCCTGCCTCCATCTCTGATTCCACTGGTGGTCTGTCCCCTGCCTCCTCCTCTGATTTCATGGATCTACCTTTTCTTATGAAGCTGACCTGAAAATTTCAGGAAGCTAAATTAAGGTACAAATGTATAAAGCTGAAAAAGAAATCCACTAAAAGCATATCATATTTACCAGTAACATTGCATTTTTTCTAAAAGTATCCATTATTCTGATTAAAAACATTTGCAATGTTAGTGTGACACATATTTTATTCATGCATTTACTCATTTTCACCCATTTTCTGGTCAGGTTTATTATCTGATCCTATAATCATTCGTTATGGACTAGTATATTAATATTATTATAAATATATTATTTCAAAGCAAAAAAAAACCCTCATCAATGTTATAGCGAGTATGATTACCGCACTGCTACCATACTGAAGATTTATTATGAGTTTAAAACACTTGCCTCCATGGAGCAGTTTTGTCATCATAGTTGTATCTCAGTTCTTCTCCTGGGTGTATTTCCCTCAAAGAACTCAAAAAGAGATGGGGGTTGCCATCAACAAAAGCATTTTGCAATTAGGTTTCAGCCACTCATCATTCGCAAACTTTCCTTATGCATTTGACAATAATACATCGTAACTGAAAAAAGAAAAATAATGTAAATCAGTTGATTTTGTTTCAGACAACAGGCCATTAGATTACACAAGCATGTAACTGGTTTACAGATGCTCTTTTTAAATATTTTACTTTGGTCAACCAAAATAAAAAGAAAAACATCAGCTGTTTTCTAAGGGATGGTATCTATATAGGGTAACAGAGTAGAAAATTAAACCCTACTCCTAAGTTGGCAATACAGGTCTGTTTCATGAAACTTGTGTTGACCAGTTATAACTAAACAATTCAGTCGTTTATGCCTTAAGGTGGTATCGAACATGCCTCTTAGGCTCTATTCCCATACATTTTAGATCGATCTATCCCCGTGGAGAGTCTCACTAGATTACTTTCAGATAATCCGACTTAAATGTCCGTCCCGCCTACTACAAGCTGTAAGAGGGTAATTAACTTTCGTGTCTGCCCAGCTGACAGCTATTTAGCGTGAACCCCCAGGGAGTTAGGTCGATCTAAAGTAGGTCGATCTAATCTATGGAAATGGGGTGTTACAGACACTCTTTCATTTTACTTTGGGCATTTATTGCTACTGAATTCAATGTTTTTCATCTATTGCTGTTCTCAAATTTGCAACAGAGCAATACAATTTTTTTGCGATTTGAGCTTTAAATGTCATCAATGGGGAAAATTATCTGGAGGGGAAGAAAGATTTCACCATTAGAACCAGCCTAAAAAGCACCTAATTTAGCAATTGAACACAACTCATAATACAAAAGATGGGCGACTATAGACCATGTTGCAAATAAAGCCACATTTATATATGTATATTATTAACATAAACACATTCAACATGGCAGTGTAAAAAGCACTTTAATATATGCTTACCATAGCTTCTTTCCGTGGTGAGAAAAATAATACAAATAAATGTTTTTTTACTACTGATTCCTTCAGCATCTTTTTCATTGAGTAATGGCCCCCTTGTGTACACACATGTGAATTGGCCTGGATGTATGGTTTCTGATGTAAACAAAACATAGCCTTTAAAAAAATAAATTGTATAAAAAAATCAGAATCAGAAGACAAGTCGTTGAATTCTATCAATTATTTATATTGTGTATATCAGCAACCATGACTGTTGTTTATCAAACAATACACCCATGGCCACTGGGCCAAATTTTTGAGTAATCAACTTCTATAAAGAAGTTCATGAGAGAATGACAAATATAAAAGTAATAAAAAAATGAAAGATAAAAAATATGAACATATAAGGACCTTCTTTATACTTTTTGCTTTAAATTTCAGCTTTAAAGATAGCCAAAAAGCACAGCTGAGAACAGGATTTGGAGAGGGGGGTGGAGAGAGTTTTTGCTCTTTTTCTTCCTTAATACTGACACAACCACTCTTCCAGTACTTTAAACTTACTACAAATGACCAAACACACCTACTGGTCACTAAAATGAAGAAAAAATTTTTTCTTCCCTAAATGGCCAAAATTGAAGAAAACTGCCATTCAGGGACCTTATGAAAATCACTAAAAATCACCCAAAAACGACCCGTCACCAATTTTTCCAAAAAGTGATGAAAATCAATCTACCACACCTGACATTCATAAAAAATGTGGAAACGCGCCCGGATCACTTCATTAAAGCCCCCAATTTCAGCTTTAAAGATTGCCAGAAAGCACACCTGAGAACAGGATTTGGAGAGGGGGGGGGGGGGAGAGTTTTTGCTTTATTTCTTCCTTAATAATGATACAACCACTCTTCCAGTACTTTATCCTCACTACAAATGACCAAACACACCTACCTGACCCAATATTGAAGAAAAAAATTTTTCATCCCTACCTGGCCAAAATTGAAGAAAACTGCCATATCCGGACCTTACGAAAATCACTCAAAATCACCCAAAAATGACCCGTCA